ACCCCTAGGGGTTGGGTGAAAGCCCCTTGACCTGTGGCTTCAGCTTTCCCTCTTATTTCAGGCCCACTGGAGCTAGAGGTGTTTACTAATTCAGACAGCTGCTGGCTTCTGAGGCTGAGGAACTCAAGGTTGGTGGGTAAAATGGCACAGTCCCAAGATTATCAGGCAACATGGCAGGCCACTAGTTCAAGTCTAAGAATAATCTCAGGATCAGCAGTCCACATGGCAGGCTACTGAGATGAAGACTCAGCCAAATGCACGTGCAGATATGCCAAAAAGCTAGAGGCCTTTCTCAAAGGTTCTTCTTATATACTGGAAGCAGGCTATACCCCTAAGGCAACTACCTCACTGCTCACAGCAGATTCCACAGTGGAGGTGATTACAATCTCATCATGGGAAAATAAGTACATCCAGCTGCCCAGGTACTCAAAACCACAGCACGCCAAGTTGACACACAACCTTAACTATCATATTTCCACACCTTGTCAGCTTGGCACCTGTAACGGTCTCCTTCATTGAGTACCCCGAATCTCTTAGTCCCTCTGAGTGGCAATCTCAACCCTTTGGCTTGGCAGACCCCACTCTTATGTCCCTGGGCATGGCAGCCCCATTTCCTCATTTTGGCCAGTGCATATGGTCCCATCTCAATGGCACTCATGTAAGGCAGCCCCACACTCCAGAACAGAGTTGGTGAAGATCTGACTCTTAGAAACTTAGGAGGCTGTAGTGGTTCCACCGCCAGAGATCCTGGTCCTACCCTTTGAGATTGAGACAGTTCTGCTTCCCATTTCCTTGGTCTCTTCATTTGCCAATTAGTGCCTGAAGGCAACCCACTCCAACAGGAAGCTTCTTGCCCAAAGGCACTCAGCTTTCTTGTTCAGTGGGCAAACAAATCTCCCACTCTGTCTCATGCTGTTTTTTTCTAACCATTAGTGCCCAAAGGCAACCCACTTCACCAGGAAGATTCCTGCCCGGAGGCATTCAGCTTTCTCACTCTGTGGGCTGGCACACCTATTGCTACATCTCGTGGTGGTCTCTCAGCTCTGTTGCTGCCATCTCTCTGTCAGTTTCTCTGCCATGTTCTCAGTGTAGGGATCTCAGGTCCAAGGATGCAGTCCACTCCTGTTTCCACAATTTAGGTATCTGTTAGAGCATCACTCTACTCTCTTACTACCAAATTCTGTTTTGGTTCTCTAGTGCTATTATAACAGCCATACCACTGATGGGTGGCTTTAAACAGACGGGAATATATTCTCCTAGTGTTTAGGAGGCTAGAAGTCTAAATTCAGAGTGCTGGCTCTAGGGGCTGGGTGAAGACCCCTTGACCTTGAGTTGCAGCTCTGCCTCTTATTCCAGGCCCAGTGGAGCTGGAAGCATCTCCTAACTCAGGCAGCTGCTGGCTGCTAAGGCTGACAAACCCAAGGTTGGTGGGTAAAATGGCATGGTCCCAAGATTGGCAGGCAACACAGCAGGCCACTTGTTATGAAAACTCATTCAAATGCAGGATCCAAATGTGCCAAATGCTGAAGACCTATCTCAAAGCTTCTTCCTTATATACTGGAAGCAGTCCATGCCTGAAAGGCAGCTACTTAGCTGTTCATAGCAGATTCCATCATGGAAGTAACTATA